ATAATAGCTTGATAATTTTGTGCCTATTATTATTATTGTTTTATTCATTACATTTATATATACCCCTACAATAAACACCTTTTCCTTGAGGTAATACAAGTAGGTCTTTCCTTCCTTGCAACTAGCAAGTCTTAACTAAGGTAAACTCCCATTCTGCCAGTGTAAAGAATTTTATGGGAGGAAATACAATCTTTGTCTCTGTCTGTCTGTCTGTCTCTGTCTGTCTCTCTCTCTAACTTCGAAACTGTTTAGTCTCCAGTCAAGAGAAATGATCCTTATACTTCAAGGCTGATCTCTATCTCTCGTTCTCCATGAGACTTGCATTGATTATCATAATCTGGTTTTCATCTCTGTTGAATTTTGTCGGCATCCACATAACACTTTGTAGAACTGTATCTGAGAACTTTTCCCACCACCATAGCACATAATTGTATGCTGTTTTGATTGTGGTGTTCATGATATTTCATGCTTAAATCCTCTCTCTCCCAACACAGTATAAGCTTTTTGAGGGTAAGAGCTATGCTTGGCATTTATTTATTTCCCAAAGTGTCTAATATAATGCTGGAATTACCAAAGGAATTTAAGACATTTACATTATTGGATAAATGTGGGTAAACCATGAAGACTTCCTCCACAGAGCTGTCCTTCCATTCCTGATTTCACCTTTGGCTAGCCCATTTGGCAATTTTGCAGTATTTATTTAATAGTGGAAGACTTGAAACTAAACAAGTTTAAAGAAGTCTAGTGCATCCGGTTCTCCTGTTATATGTGCAGCTAATAAACTGGGCAATCATATCTACTTTCTGAATCTCAATTTCAACATGGGCTAATTGAAGCTGATAAATGTTTTGACCTCGAATTTTTCCACCATATTGTTCTAGTATCCATGAAAGATTATGACTGATTTCCTTGTATTTATTCTTTTGTAAACCTCTTTAACGGGGTTTATTTGTGCTTGGAACCTTAGAGTGGTCCCAGAGGCAATGTAGCATGGTGGTTAAGATGAGGGCTTTAGAGTCTCAGACCTGAGTTTGAATTCCAGCTCTGCTTACCTACGAGGTGATTTTCAGCAAGTCACTGAACCTCTGATTCTCAGGAATAAGACCTATCTCTGATTGCTGGTATGAGGACCTGGGATGAAGATGTATATTAAGCAAAATCATTTAGAATATGATGGTAAAGGACAGAGCTTGGACTCTAACTATTTATCTCTAAAACCCACATGGCTGAGCATCAGCTGTCCCTCACTGGGCACTGTGTATTAGGGAAGATTTTTCTTTTCGTCTGGTTGCACTGGTGGAGGAGAGATATAGCTGATCCTTAGAATGGTTTTGCTTGTTGACTCTGAGGAATAGGAGATGCAGTGGATGCACTAGTCGGGGGAGGGGGAAGCTCTGGCTGAGACTTAGATACAGACAAATGGTAAGACATCACCAACAGCCTTGATCTTTGTATTCAGCCTTTACTGCATGTACTGCCTCCATTGTATTACCATCTAAGACCTTGGAAATGACTCTCAAAGGATCTTTCCTCTTTCGGAACTTAGCTTATGCAAACGAATGGGCTATCGACCAACTCTGCGACCTTAGTAGATTTTTCCCCACATCTACAATCCTCTATTTCCTTTCATATAGAATGAGGATGATAATAATTACCTGCCTCTTAGGAGCTGAAGTAATACAATGCATGTGGCTCCTAGTAAGAGCTCAGAAAATATTATCTTTTCGTCTTATCATTATCCATGTAGGATGACAGCTGTGAATGAAGAGGGCTGACTAACACCAGTGGAGTCACAGGGAGGAGCTGGCTAGATGGGCTGGAGGCCAGATGCCTGTGAAAAGCCTTCCTGGGTAGGGATAACAGCACGTGCAGAGTTTGGAGTGATGGAAGAGCAGAGTATGTCAAGGGATCTCTAAGTATGTCAAATGCTGGAGCTTAGGCTGGGCATGTGCTGACGACACGGGGGGAAAAAGAGACAGAAAACGTAGGGCAGGATCACACCAGGCTTTGGTTGACAAATTTTCAGGACACATCTGTTCCTTCTGTTTATTGGCTAAACCAGGAGGCGTTTCCAGCCTTCAAGTTCTCAAGCCTCCCCTGACCTGTGCTCCAGTGTTCCATGGGTCACTTAATCTCTCTGAGGCTCAGTCCACTCTATGGTAACACATTCTGCTTCTTTTTTTTTTTCTCATTAAAAAATTTTAATTTTATTATTACACATTTAACTTTACAGAAAAACAATATCACATACTTTAATTTACAGAAGGATAGAGTGGCATAGAGGAAAGAGCCTTAGAGCTTTAATCTCGGCTCTTCCACTGCAGTGGTTCTATCATTTAACCCACTCTGCTTCCCCTTAATGTGGAGGATTATAATTCTCCATGCTGTTCAGTCTGGGTTTACGTTCTGCTTCTTTATGGGGTTGTTGGCCCCAAACTGCATGGTAAGAGTATACATGTGGATTGTAGATGCTATGCAAGTACAAATTTTTTTTTTTTTTTCTTTTGGCCGCACCGTGTGGCATGTGGGATCTTAATTCCCCGACCAGGGATGGAACCTTCGCCCCTGCAGTAGAAGCGCGGAGTCTTAACCATTGGACTGCCAGCGAATTCCCTAAATATTTTAAATTAAATGTTGCTTCATGACATCACATATTATATTAAAAACAAAATGCATCCTATCGGGCTTCCCTGGTGGCGCAGTGGTTGAGAGTCCGCCTGCCGAAGCAGGGGACGCGGGTTCGTGCCCCGGTCCGGGAAGATCCCACATGCCGCGGAGCGGCTGGGCCCGTGAGCCATGGCCGCTGGGCCTGCACGTCTGGAGCCTGTGCCCTGCAACGGGAGAGGCCACAACAGTGAGAGGCCCACGTACCGCAAAAAAAAAAAAAATGCATCCTATCATCTAGATATTTGATCAGTATAATAGATACAGATATTTGAAATGTAGCAGTAATAATAATGCTACTCTAATAGCAATCATCTTTTTTAGCATTTGCCACTGAAATAAGCCCTCTATAAATATGGCCCCATTTAATTTTCACAATAACTCTATTAGATAAATAATAGTATTCCCACTTTACAGATGAGGTAATTGAGCCTCAGAATAGTTAAGAAAACTGCCTACAGTCCCGCAATTCACAACTTCACAAATAATGCAGTTGGGATTTGAATCTGGGTCAACCCGAGTCTCTTGGTTGAGTCATGCAAAGGAAGCAACAAGATTGGGAACCTGGATGTGCTGAAAAAAAGATGTGGAAAATATCTATGTAAATATAAGGAGAGGCATAATGCCAGAGGGGCAGGTACATTCAGTCCAACAACCAGATACTTGTAAAATGAGTGATTAATAGCTGCTAGCTTGCTTAAATTCCACCTTGTTTATTTTTCTCTTATCCTTCACCCCTTCATAGCTTCATATTGGCTTTAATGTATAACCATAGAAATAAGAAAAGAGAGATATACTGTTGTATTCCCAGTAACCGTTTAAGTAGATGCACATGTTACCAAGGAGAAAATGGAATTTAGAATAGGAACTTCTCAAGGTCACCTGGTTGGCCAGTGACTGACCTAGGATTTGAACCCTGATTCCGAGCCTCTTTCCACTACAGCGTGCAATTTCCTCAAGTCATCTTTATCACAAACAGCCCCATTCTCGTGGCTAAGCACCTCTGTTTCTCCAATTCCCAAAGTTTCATTTGAAAACAATACTGTCTCCACTAAACCGAAGGCTGAAACCACCATTTACCAAATGGGAGAGTTAAATTCATTACTAATGCTTAAAACTCAATTCAGGTATGCTCAGCTACCAACCCAGGTGCTGGCGTGAGACACCTATAATCATCTCTTTATTGTTTGCTCATTTTATGGGGCCCTAGCCCCCCCTCCCCCTCCCTGCCTACCATCAGGAATTCACATCCCGGAGGCTCCTTTGTGGCAGCATGGGCAAGCATCTCAATTTCCAAACATCTGGCTGGCTTCAATCAATGAGGCTCTAAGCTCACCACTCCTGGGGCTGCAGGGGTACTGGTGGGGATAGCTGGATTCAGGATGCACAGCCAGCAATAAGCAACCAGAGGGCCTCTGCATTCTTTTGTTCATGAAAACCTTGGTTTACGCTACCAAAGCTGGGCTGGACAGAGGGAAACATGAAAACAAAGCCTTACTCGGCAACAGGGCCAACAAGCAAGCTTAGTATAGGGCAGGAAAGTCTGCTACTTCCCTCAAAACCAAAATTCTAGTTAGCCACTGCAAGAGAACAGAATCCAAACAGATTTGCAGACCAATCAGGGCAAGAATTGGATGTCCAAAGCAGGGGAGGAAATATCTTTTCTAAAAAGAGAGGATAACGATAAGAAGTTTTTTGCTTTGAATAGTGCTTTATCATCAACAAAATGTAATCTCACGGACTCTCTGGCCAAACTGCTGTGTTCCAATCCAGCTCTTCCCAGTTATAAGCTGAGTGAGCCTGGGCAAGACAAACTTTTGGTGTCTTACTTTCCTGGGGTTCCTAAACCCTACTACTACCTTCCTATTAGGACTTTTGTGAGGATTAAATAAGATCATGCATATGAAGTATTGAGAGCATGCCTGCTACATGGAAATGCTACATACATGTGTTTGCTATTATTTCATTTGTTCTTTACAAACGGCCTGCAAAGAAAATAGAATAGATATCACTGAAACTGTGGGTAATTAGCCAAATCCATTTCACCTGCCTTCACTCATCAAGGTCGTCTACAAAAGACATACATACCTTTCAAGCAGCACGTAGCCTAAACAATAAGATGTTTGCCCCAGTTTTCCAGGAACTTGGAGTCAGCTGTGTCTAGTTCGAGCTGAGCTCGTTAAGACCGGGCATGCGCAATTGTCAGCTGCTGACCTTTTGACGTCAGAGGGCGTCAGGTCACGCTAAGGGCCTCCATTCCTTAAAGGTGCAGACGCCGGTAGCTTAGTTAGAGAACAACAATTACCGCACCTTTTCCCAACTGCATTTCCCCGTGCTCCCCACGCCTTGGGCCGTCCTGCTTCATGATTCCTTATCCCATAAATACCCCAAGCCGCTTGCCTTCAGGTAAGTGGATCTGAGACTAGTTTTCCCGTCTTCCTGATTGGCTGCCTCGCGAATAAAACCTGTCTCTGCTGCAAACCTCGGCATCTCAGCATTTTGGCTTGCTGTGGTTCGGGCAAAAGGAACCTGGTTCAGTAATATTATCTCCGTCGGAAGAATGGAAGCTACGAGTGGTTAAGAAGTTTAAAAGTGTACCAGTAGTAAGTTGTAGAGGTAAGGTTAAAACCTAGCTCCAGTGCTTTTCTTTTTTCTTTCCTATTTTCTTTCGGTCCGCCATGCGGCTTGCGGTATTTTAGTTCCCCAACCAGCGATTGAACCTGGGCCACAGCAGTGAAAGCACCGAGTCCTAGCCACTGGACTGCCAGGGAATTCCCCAGTGCTTTTCTTTTTTCTTTCTTTTTTTTCTTTTTGCGGTACGCGGGCCTCTCACTGTTGCGGCCTCTCCCGTTGCGGAGCACAGGCTCCGGACGCGCAGGCCCAGCGGCCATGGCTCACGGGCCCAGCCGCTCCGCGGCTTGTGGGGTCTTACCGGACCGGGGCACGAACCCGCGTCCCCTGCTTCGGCAGGCGGGCTCTCAACCACTGCGCCACCAAGGAAGCCCCCCAGTGCTTTTTTTTTAGTAATTCATTAATCCATTTTTTAAAAAAAATAATTAATTTATTTTTGGCTGTGCTGGGTCTTCGTTTCTGTGCGAGGGCTTTCTCTAGTCGCGGTGAGCGGGGGCCACTGTTCATTGCAGTCCGCGGGCCTTTCACTGCCGCGGCCTCGCTTGTTGCGGGGCACAGGCTCCAGACGCGCAGGTTCAGTAGTCGTGGCTCACGGGCCCAGTTGCTCCGCGGCATGGAGGGATCCTCCCAGACGGGGTCTCGAACCCGTGTACCCTGCATTGGCAGGCAGATTCTCAACCACTGCGCCACCAGGGAAGCCCAAATCCATTTTTTAAAATTCCTTCATTCGATGTGAATTGAGCCCTTGCTATGTACGAGCCACACTGTTAGGGCCACAGAGATGTATCTTGACATAGGTGTTTCCTGAAAGATATCAGAAGGTCATGGTTAGTGCCTGATAAAAGCATTGGTTTGAGGAAAGCTGGAAGTGATTTGGTGGTGTGGATGAGGTAAGTTTTCCTTTAATACCAGGCTTTCATTACTAAGCCAAGGTTTCTCAAGGTTTAAGTGGTGGAACGAGTAGAAGTCATGAAGTTTTGCTGTTCTTTGGGAAACATCATGAACTACTGATCTGCTCCGTTAACGAAAGAGACACTATCCAATTCGTATTATACTTGGAAAGTTTAGCGGTAAAATTTCAGGCTCAGGAGGAGTTGAACTCTCCTGATTCAAAGCCCATTTCATCTCTTACTGGCTGTGTGACTTGGAGTCGATTAATGAACCTCTCTGAGTCTCTATTTGCTGCTCTTTGAAATGGGGATATCAGTCAGACCTCCCACTGAAGGAAAACAAGGTGATGCAGCACTTCCCAGTCTTATTTGAGCATTGTATACTTTTTCCTATCCTGACTGACGTCCTGCAGGTAGCCTGCAAGACACCAACATAGAAAATGACCCTGTTTTATTGATTTTTTTTTTAAAAATTGCATTAGTTTTTTCTTCATGGCTGTGCCTGAGGAAGGAGGGTAGACAATGATGTAGTGCATGATTGGGGCTGCAACTCTACCCTGCTCAGTCATGGGTAAAAACAATCTGGTGTTTATCAATCTTTGAGGCCTTTTACTGTGAGTGTATTCTAAAATCAGCTATCTGATGAACTTTTTTTTTTTTTTGCGGTACGCGGGCCTCTCACTGTTGTGGCCTCTCCCGTTGCGGAGCGCAGGCTCCGGATGCACAGGCTCAGCGGCCATGGCTCACGGGCCCAGCCGCTCCGCGGCATGTGGGATCTTCCCAGACCGGGGCACGAACCCATGTCCCCTGCTTCGGCAGGCGGACTCTCAACCACTGCGCCACCAGGGAAGCCCTATCTGATGAAATTTTAAAAAGTGTTTATCTAATGCTTACTGTGTGTTAAATACTGTTCTAGTCATTGAGGAAACGAGATTAAGCCACATAAGGCTCACCCTCTCATAGAACTTATATTTTAGTGCAGTGACAGATAACAAACCCCAAAACAAACAATAATTTAAAGCAGTAATATATACTAGGAATGTTGGCAAGTAATGGCACTGCTACAGTTCCTACTACTAAAATGGTAATAATAGTGATAATTATAGCCAGCAGGAGAGAGCTAAGTATATCATAGGCAGCAGTCTGATCTCTATTCATTCACTTATCACCAGTCTTTTTTTTTTTAATGGAGCAACTTTTAGCATCTCTTAGACTAGTTTTATGGGGTTATGGTTTGGAAAACATAGCTATTCATTTCAAGCAAACAATCTTCAAGTAGAGCTTTCAGCATGCCCGCCCCGAACATTTGCAGGGCCCAGGACAAGAGTACAAATAGCGGCCCACATACCATGTGTCTAAATATTTAAGGGTTACAAATCAAGCGAATAAACTTTCAAATCTATCCTCCTGGCTTGACAAATATAATGTCATAACAACGGGGAAGGCCAGGTTTGGATTTAGAACTCTCAGAGCCTTGGATTTTTGTGCTGGAAGGTGGTGGCCTGGGAAGAACTGGCTCCTGGGAACCACATTCCTTCTTGACCCACCATCAGTAAGAGGCTTTGCTCGAAACACGTGGACCCCAGTCCAGTCCCACAAACAGCCATCACTTGGCTACCTCTTGGAATGGATCTTAGAAAGTATGGACCAGAGATTCCAGAGTTCTGGGTATCCAGCAAACAAAGAAACATAAAGTACAGATAGAATGACTAAGTTACTTCCAACCCTGACATTTCATGATTCGGGTTTTAGTGCTGGAATTTGCATGATCTTAAACCTGCAAAATATTGATGCTATGCTCTGTGTGTACAAGATGTTTTGTCTGGCAAGAAGTGTGCCTTGTGGAAAATTCTAAACAATGGCCTAGGAAACACAGAATTGGGAATTATTGTATAGACGTGTCTTGACAATAATATTATTAATTGATCACACAAGGCCCTAGAATCCAAAGAAATGTCACATCTCAGAGCAGGTAAGAGTAACTTAAGTTCAGAATTATGGGCAAAACATTTCCCTTTCTTGGACTTCAGTTTCCCATGTGAAAACACCAAGTTTTGGATTCTGAGTTCCTTCTAGCACATTTTTATGATTTTTATGATGTGATCTGCAAGAGCTTTTCCCTTGAATAGAAAGCAAGGGTATTTAGTAAGGGGAAGGGTCTAAAGAGTGAGATGTTTAACAAGAGCAATAATTACATATTATGTTCCAGTCTTTTATAGCTTATGTAAAAGGTTTTTGAATGCATTATCTCACTGGATTTTCATCCCCTGCCTGTGATGCTGGTATCTTTTCCTCCATTTGCCACTAAAGAAAATGAAGCCTAGAAGAGATGAGTGAATCACCCACAATCTCTCAACCTCTGAGTGACAATAGAGCCAGCTCTCAAATCCATATATACAGCCTTTAAAGTGGGTGAGCAGGTTTCCAAACCTTTGCATTTGGGAAAGATGGTCTTGCAGGTGTGAAATCCATTCTTTCTGAAGGAAGAGGGGGGTAAACAGCAGCAAGCATAAGCATGTCTCTTATGACTCATTAGTCAACTTAAGGCAGACCTTTATTTCAGACGGGAAATCATTATTGCAGCTGCTACTAGGCCGACACATACGGACGTACACACCCTCCTCGCAGCAGCATTGTCTCACTTTGCCCTGGACACCCAGGCTCCGGAATAATGCAGCCAGCGGGACACTTTCCTGGCACATATGTTGTAAAATGCATAATGGCTGAGGGCATGTTTCGGAGCACTGCATCTCTTTCCATCCCTTCAACAGATTGTGTGTGCAGCCTGGCCGGTTGCCCGCAGCATTCTACCTGCCGCATCGGGAAAGGCTGAACCTCGATGGAGAAGAAAAGGAGGCTCCACTGTACGGAACGCTCTCCCGTGCGCATGCTCCGAGAGATTTCATGCCAGGCAGAGGGCACAAGATACTCCGATAATTAAGTATCAAAGGTGAGTGGTAAAAATGAAAGAGGGGAGGCGGTGTATGAAAAAGTAAACATGCAAAGCCTTACAAAAAAGCACACACCTAAATGTAGTCACTGGAACGAATCAAATGAAAGTAAGTCAAAACAAGAGATGAGTGCTAAATTCACCAAATGGAAACACATTTTAGGGACGAAATCTTGCTTGTGTTAACACACAAACCATGGTGGGCAATGATGTATCTGGCCCCCAACACTCTGTTCCTGGGTGGTCAACTCACGTGGACTCGGATTTCAGTCTCTGCTCCTTTCCTTAATATCTGTATGACTGTGGGTCGGTTAATTAAATTTTTGAGTCTTAGTTTCTTTGTTTGGAAAGTGGGGATGAATTATACCTACCACTCAGTTTTTGTGTGTGTGTGTGTGTGACAAATGTGTTATATATTCTATCCAAACTGGCTTAGGTCAGCATTTGGAAAATAGATGTTTATCTGGCCTGTGGTAGCTGCCGGATAACCAGAATCGCCATCTTCATTAATTTATATTTCCATCTTCCATGCTTAACACTGGATCTTCATTAAATGTTGAATGCACTTGTTAAAAAATTTTAAATCAAATTTAATGGGGCAGAATTTACATACAATAAAACACTCAGTTCAAGTGTAAAGTTCAATGACTTCTGATAATTCTACACCTTCATGTAATCACCACTACCATCAAAATAGGGAAGAATTCTCGTAGCCTAAACTGCTCTCTGCTCTCCCTTTCAACGACCCTCAACTTCCAGCCCAAGCAACTACTGATCTGCTTTTTGTCACTACGCGTATTGCACACTATTTATTTCCTTCCTTTTCACGTACTTTGGGTTTAATTTGCTCCTCTATATCCAGCTTTTCAATGTGTGAATTTAGATAATTGACTTTAGTGCTTTCTTTTCCTGCTTTAGCCACATCTCAGAAATTGATACGTTTTAATTTTCTTCCAGTTTAAAATATCTTATAATTTCCCATCTTATTTCTTCTTCAATCCATGGTTTATTTAGTAATGCACTGTTGATTTCATAAACATGTAGGGAATTTTGAGTTATCTTTCAATCTGCTGGTAATTTCAATTTTAATTCTGTTATGGTCAGAGAGCATGCTCAGCTTTATTTCAGTTGTTTAAAATTTGAGACTTCTTTTATGGCTAAGAACATCATGGTGAAAGTGTATATTCTTTTAAAAAATTTTGTTGAGATGGTAGATTTCATGTTAATTATTCTCACCACAATAAACTTAAAAAATTTAGAAAATTGTCATTTATATTTACCCATATATTTACCACATTTAGCACTCTACATTCTTATGTGTTGATTCAGCTTTCCTTTTGGTATCATTTCCATTCTTCCTTTAATTCCTTTAGTTTTTATTTTTTGTAGGCCATATCTGTTAGCAATAAACTCTTGCAGGCTTTGTTTGTCTAAAAATGTCTTTATTTTTACCTAAGTTTTCAAAAGTGTTTTTTCTGGTTATAGAACTACTGGTTGCCTGTGTTTTTCTTTCAGCACTTTAAAGGCTGTAAACCATTTTCTGTGGTTTACATAGTGTTAACCATTCTCATCTCTTATTCTTATCTCTGTTCCTCTGTAAATAATAACTTTTCTATAGAAGATTTTGAGATTATATTACTGGTTTTTACAATTTGATTATGGTTTGTCATGGTGTCATTTTCCTTTTATTGTCTGTCTTGGCAATTGCAGACCTCCTTTATATTTATTTATTTTTGGCTGCGTTGGGTCTTCATTGCTGCATGCAGGCTTTCTCTAGTTGTGTTGAGCGGGGACTACTCTTCGTTGCGGTGCGCAGGCTTCTCATCGCAGTGGCTTCTCTTGTTGTGGAGCACGGGCTCTAGGTGCGCGGGCTTCAGTAGTTGCAGCACGCGGGCTCAGTAGTTGCGGCACGTGGGCCCTAGAGCGTGCAGGCTTCAGTAGTCGTGGCTCATGGGCTCTAGAGTGCATGCTCGGTAGTTGTGGCGCATGGGCTTAGTTGCTCCACGGCATGTGGGATCTTCCCGGGCCAGGGCTTGAACGCATGTCCCCTGCATTAGCAGGCAGATTCTTAACCACTGCAACACCAGGGAAGTCCCATTGCAGACCTTCTTAAATCTGGTTTTAGATTTTTCAACAAATTTGAAAAAAGTTCAGCCATTTTTTCCTCAAGTGCTTTATCTGTTCCATACCCTCATGCTCTTGTATATTATGCTATGGTGTTTTGTATTCTCCCACAAATCGCTGAAGCCCTGTTGATTTTTTTTCAATAATTTTTTTCTCTGTATTACATTATGAATAGTATGTGGCTGTATCGTCAATTTCACTGACATTTTGTTCTTCAGTGTCTAATCTGCCATCTCATTCAGTGAAATTTGCTTTCCAAATGTAACCTTTTTCATTTTCCAAAGTTTCACTTTCTTTTTTTATATCTTCCATTTTTTCTTCATTGTGTTTATATTTTTCAAATCCTTGTGCATATTGAGTGTATTTGTAGTGGTTACTTAAGGTTCTTTGTTGTTCATTCCATCATCTGTCTTTTCTGAGTCTGTCTCTACTGATTTTTTTTTTTAATATGGGTCCGTTTTCTTCTTGGCATGTCTGACAGTTTTTGTATACTGAATATCATATTTTTTGTGGTCTTCAGCACTGAATTTTTTGTTGTCTTCTCTTAAAGAGTGTTTAATTTTGTTCTGCCAGGTGTGGCTAAGTTACTTGGGGATCAGCTTGATCCTTTTATACCTTGTTTTTAAGTTTCATTATAAACTGCCCTTTATTCAGTGCTACTAAATAGATCCTTCTGTGATACTTCCTAATGCCCCTGGTTTTCCTGGAGAACTCTCCATTATGACTGGTTAGAACCTGAGCATATCCTATCCTTGTGTGATATTATTCAGCTCACAGTTTCCTAGTCATTCTTTGCCTGGCTTCTTGGAACCTTACTGGACGCACACATGCTTTTGTGCTTACTAATAGACTTGAAAGAGCCTTTACAGACATGTCTGATGCTTAAGAAATTCTTTTCCACCTCTCTAGCTACCTGTTTTACTAATTTCAGCCATGCTACCCTCTTTGAACTCCAATATCAGTCTCTTCAATTCAGTGGGAATGCCATATTCTCTTTGGGTGCCCTTCCTTACACTGCAGTCTGGAAAGTACATCCAAGTAGAAATTTAGGGCAATTGTAGGGCTCATATATTTTGTTTCCCTCCTCATAGGGATCACAGTCCAGTGTAAAATGTTGGAAGATATTTGCTTCACATATTTTTGTGGGTTTTGTTTGTTTGTTTGTTATTTAGGGTAGGAGGGTAAGTTTGGTCCCAGTTATCCATCATGGCTGGGTGAGAAAGTTGATGTATTTCTTTTTTACAAAGGTTGATAGCATTATTAAAACCAAATGATTCAATTAGGGGCTAAAATGACAGCATCAGCTAATGGTCAAGGGCTTTCTATTTCTGCCTCCGTCACAAGTCAAAGTTTCATGCCACACCAGGGCTTTATAGTGGTGTTCTCCTTTAGTTCCTGTAATGAGGTCAAGCCTGTGGACAGTTGTCAATTGAATTGATACTACTTTTCTTTCAAGATTGGTCAATTTTAAGTTTTTTGTCCTTTGGACTCATGCCTACTTCCTCCATCAGCAAGTGAATTTAAGGAAAGTTTCTTCCCCAAACATTCTTTTATCACTAGCTCAATATTAGAGTTTTCTGCCTGTTTTGTTATTTCTGCGGCTAAGCTGTAATTTCATTGAGAACAGTCCAAAAGTTTGTATTTATAGCATTTGGCATAGTACCTGACTCATAATATGTCTTCTAATATCAGTTGGATAAAAAAGAGTAATTCAAGTTATGTCAAATCATCTCCCTTAAACTTTGCTTTAATTCTTCCAGCTAACTGTGGAAAGTGCAGATCTTTTTAGCTATCGCCATATATTAATCTGCGTATGTTACCAACTCTGTTTGCTCCAAAATTATAGAATTACAATATAAGTTTTAGGTATTTAAAATTCAAATTTCATTCTGTACACTATCTTTGGGAAATCTTTTCCAAGCCTACACTGTACAATGATGAATTCTAAATATCCTATCCATCTTTCCTCTCTCTCTTGAACTCCAAACTGGGTGTTTGCACTTGAATATCCCACAGGGCTCTTAATCTTAATTATGTCCAAAATAGAACTCCTCATTTTTCCTTAATTCTGTCCTCTTTTTCTGTGTTTTCTCTCATGGCTTTTGGATAAACAAAGTCCAAAATCCTTCGCATAGCATACAAAATCTTTCCACATCGAGTCCCTGGTGACTTCAACTGTTTTGCTCATAACTCCTCTGCCCTGAATGTGCTCTTATACCTCCCAACTCTCCATAACATTTTACAATGTTATTTATTCTATTAATTCACTTTTTTCACTTACTTATCCTTTCAACCTACTGCAGTGGAAGTTTTCTGGCTTCTCCAGATATATTCTCCACCCTTTTCACCTGCTCTGGGCCTGAGCATTCTTCTGTATGGGCTATGTGAATGGGGTTCTTTGCCTCTGATATCTGGTGGGGTTTGGTCTAAGAAAATCCAGGGAAGAGATCAAGAATAGGAGATCTATGGACTAAATGTGTCTCCCCAAATTTATACTTTGAAGCCCAAACTCTTAATGTGATTGTATTTGAAGATAGGACTTTTAGAGAGTAATTAAGGCTAAATGATGTCGTAAGGGTGGGGTCCTAATTAGACGGAAATAGTGGCCATATAAGAAGAAGAGAGTTTGCTCTCTCCATGAGCATGCACAAAGAAAAGCCTTTGTGGGGACACAGTAAGAAGAAGGTGGCCATCTGCAAACTAGGGAGAGAGCTCTCACCAGACAGTAACGCTGCTGACACCTTGATCTTGGACTTGCAGTATCCAGAACTTTGAGAAAATAGATTGTTACTGGTCTACCCCCTAAGCAACCACCATTCTACCCTCTGTTTAAATTCAGCTTTTTTATGATTCCACATGTAAATGAGATCATGCAT